TATTTCGCGCAATAGGTTTAAGGTTCGACCGGGGAAATAGACTTCGGCAGCCTTAAACACGTGGCTCCACCATTTTATGGTCACTTCGGGCAGGATTTGGATTGGTGTTTAGTGGTTATCCAACCATTTTCTGGTCGAATAATTAGTGTTCGTAAATAGTGTAAATAGTGTTCGTTTAAATTTTGATTAGGTACTCGCAAACAGAATTGTTTATTTCATAGCGCTCGTATTTGGTTAAATTTAAGGTTTAAAATTGAAACAGAGTGATAGCAACCGTTTGTTACGTTTACCCGACAATCTTTATAAAAACATTGAGTTAGCAAGCAACGTGTCGCCTCGACTGTAGCAGGTGTTCGATTTAATTACGTAATACGGCATACCGAGCGTCCATCGTCCATCGTTTATGCGTGTGAGATTAATTGTGATTAATAACTTTGTTATAATAATTTAAAATGGCAGTTAGTGGAAGTGAATTTAAAATTAAAACGCTTTATGCCAAGAGGGACGTACTTTTTTCACGTATACAAAGCATTAGCGATCATATAAAGAACATTAATGTAGAAGCGGTGCGGGAAACTTTTCTGAATGAAATTGAAACGGTGGATTCTTTGCGGACGGATTACGAAAGAATATTAGACCAAATTAATCATTTGGAATTACAAATCGACCCGAAATACATAGTGAACTACCAACCGCTGCTGGCATTCGAAGATATGTTGTGTCGCGTGAAAAGAACGGCAAAACTCCTACAATCTCAAAACGAAGCAAAGCCGGAATTGCAGGTACGTCCTCGTGACTCAATTAGGTTGCCGCCAATAGATATTCCGGTATTCAATGGTGATATTAAGACGTGGCCCTTCTTCTTCAGTAGTTTTCAAAACAATATACACAATAACTCATCGCTATCGGACGCTGAAAAATTATATTACTTAATTAGTAAACTTAGTGGCAGGGCACAGTCGATCTGCTCTGGGTTTACACCTACAGCAAACAATTACTTATTAATATTCGAAACGCTTAAAACTAAATATGAAGATAGGAGAATGTTAGCTTCCGAATATTTGAACCAGATTTTCGATCTTAAACCTATATCATCCGCGAACATCAACGGCTTAGAGCAGTTTCTAGATAAATTTGTGGCATCGGTGGCTGCACTTAAGAATTTAAAATTTAATGACCTTATGGACGTGGTGTTTCTCCATATTGCACTAAAGAAATTAGACCCCGACACCGTGCGTGCGTTTGAAATGGAGCATCGTAGCTCGGAGATGCCTTCCTTTCATTCATTAGCATCGTTCGTGCGAGATCAAATAAAGGTGATGCAGCGCTCTCCGAACGTTAAACAAGAGATTAAAAGGTGCGTCGACCGTAGACAGACTCAACCATCTAAAATAGCAGGGTCGTTAACTTGCGTAACCGCTACGTCAACATCACTTCAGCATACTTGTATCGTATGTAAAGATAAACACGGTAATTTATATAATTGTGCGACTTTTCGCAAATATTCACCAAGCGAACGTTATAAATTAGTAAAGACAAACAACCTATGTCTGAACTGCTTAAGTGATAAGCATTTAGTTGCAAAATGCAATTCGAGTTCCGTATGTAGCAAGTGCGCCAGGAAACATCACACGCTATTACATTTTGAAAATAGCAACATAGCGGCGTCAAGTAAAGCGGACAAGGAATTCACCCCTACTAAGGTCAACGATTCTAGCGGTCGACCTGGTGATGTCGCTCTGTGCTCATTGGCAAATATGGGAGCACAACCTCCTTCAACCGTGTTACTGGGTACGGTGCGTATTTTGGTTAGGGATTCGCGTGGGAACGAACAAAGCGTCCGTGCACTGCTGGACAGCGGAGCCCAAAATAGCTTTATAACGCGACAATGTTGTCAGCGCTTAGGCTTAGTAATAAATAGGTTACTTTCATGTCCTGTAGTTAAAGGCATCGGAGGTACTAGTAAAGCTACCCAGGGATATATTAATTTAAAATTTTATTCTCGGATAGATCGTAATGTTAACTTTGATATAAATGCACTAGTAGTAGATAGGGTCACTGAACGGTTGCCAACCGTTTCGGTTGACACCTCGGCAATGATTGAATTTAAAAATTTGATTCTAGCGGACGACACTTACGCCGTTCCTGGAAACATAGACATGCTCATCGGAGCATCGCTTTTCCCTCATCTTTTGTTAAATTATAAGGTCAGGGTCAACTCCTCGCATACCGCGCCTTACGCACTAGAAACCGTATTGGGCTATGTTATCATTGGCTCCGCCCCCATTATAGATAGTATTTCGGCAACCTCTTATTGTGGTATGGCTGTCGAACCGCTCGAGTCGTTAGTCCGCAAATTTTGGGAGATGGAGGAGGTGAACGTCCCACCCATAGCTAGCTCAGATGACAGGTTATGCGAGGAAATTTACGTCCGCACGACGGTTCGTGATCGCGACGGTAGATATAGTGTAGCGCTGCCCTTTAAGGGAGATGTTTTATCTCTCGGCGATTCGCGTCAAATGGCGGAAAAACGTTTCTACAACTTGGAGCGTAGGATGCTCGCTTCACCCCAGTTAAAGAAAGCTTACGACGGCGTCATTAACGAATATATAAAAGAAGGTCACGCTCACTCGCGGGCGTGGTATAAGATCCACAAAGGCTTACGTCTGCATTTTCGTATGTCTAACTACTCGAGCGGTGCATATAGAACTCGTTGGTGATCTAAGCACAGCAGGCTTTATGGGTGCATTTAAAAGATTTTTATCCCGTAGAGGCCCTGTAAGTAAATTATATTCGGATAACGGTACGAACTACGTCGGTGCAAAACGTATTCTATCGGAACTACATGAGCTCTTAGCTAGCAAGTATTATAATTCGGAGTTCGCTCACATTCTAGCCGAGAACCGCATTGAGTGGTCTCTGAACGTCCCAGCCGCGAGTCATTTTGGAGGCAATTGGGAGACCAATATTAAGAGTCTAAAGAGTCACTTATACCGAGTAATAGGAGATCAAATTTTGTCCTTCGAAGAGCTAAGTACGGTGCTCGCTCAAATTGAATGCGTAATGAATAGCCGCCCACTTTGTCGGACGTTGTCTAGTGACCCTAGTGGCTCTAACTCCAGCACATTTTTTGAATTTAACGCCTTTAAAGTATTTGCCCGCCGCAGATATGGATGAGAACAGACTTAGCATTTCCGCACGCCACAAATTATTAGATCGGTTAGTGCAATCGTTTTGGAAACGATGGAGGATGGAATACTTGCATACTTTGCAGTCTCGGCAAAAATGGAACACAGCGACTGAGCCTTTAGCTGTAGGGACTGTAGTTGTGCTTACTAAGGAGAATACGCCACTTCTCCATTGGCCGTTAGGAATTGTCGAAGAGGTCTTTCCCGGTTCCGACGGAGTAATTAGGATAGCTCGCGTTAAGACCACGGTTGGGTCTTACCTACGTCCTGTTGTCCGTTTGTGCCCCTTGCCTCTTCCATAATTTAAATTAGCTTTCTAGATTAAAATTGTAGTTGAATTTAGGTAATCTTAGCGTTAGTTAGTTATTTGTTAGTTGATCTTAGCTCTAGTTGTTTTAGTTATTTTGAAGGAGATCCTTCAAGGGCGGGGGGAGATGGTTGCGCGGAAAACCATTCGTATTTATTTTATTTGACGGTAGGTTGCCAAATCGGTTATCCCTTTCCAAAACGATATCATTCGTACCCTCCTATCGACACATCGGGGTGGTGGGGTGGGAGGGGAAAGAAGATGATTCTAGAACATCACGTAATCACCGGAACCGAGGATATATAAGACACGCGCGACCGACGCGTGGCCCGCCCTTGAAACCATCTCTTCCCGCCGCGCTCGCCGTTGAAACCACAGCTCTCTTCCCGCCGCGCTCGTTGTTGGAAACACATAATTAGTAGAAACCGCTTTAGCCTGGAAGCAGTCGAGCTCCAGGAAGCCCGCCTCACCTCGTGTGAGATATAGTCGCGCACCGCCTCTCTCCGGAGTGTTCCAGGAGTCGCAGTTATAGTGCTCGACCGCATAGAAGAAACATCCCGGTGAGTCAATATCCATTATTATTGCCTGCTTGATATAATCGCTTTAACCCGCTCCAATTTTGTGTTTTCCCAATCAAGCAGGATTCCTTTCATCGATTTGGCATAATAGTTCGTTTTTTGGGGAAGAGCGAGTGCATTGTACCGTATATACAAGTGTAGAAGCATTAGTAGATACAGTCCACTTAGATTAATATTTCGCGCAATAGGTTTAAGGTTCGACCGGGGAAATAGACTTCGGCAGCCTTAAACACGTGGCTCCACCAATCTACGAATTCAAAATTAGTGGAAGGTGACAAATTTTACGTAAAAGCAATGGAAAGACCAAATAAATTGACGTCTTATTTTAATCTCATTCCTCATACCGTAGAAAGTTCAAAAAATGGTGACTGTGTGGTAACAAACAATAAAACTGGTCAAAATACAGGAGGAATATAGTACATTTAAAAAAAGTAGAAGCCGAGTGGAGAAATGTCTCCAACAAAGATGAAAAAGAAAGTCAAGAACCGAACATCAGCAGCGGAATGAAGTAAAATATCATTAGTTAAATTTTGATTGGAATTTGATTTGCGATTGGTAGAAGTTCACCGAGGGTAACCGAAAGTATAAGACGTGTTTATTTTCGTTCCGTGAATTTTAAATCTAAAGTTCAGTAAATTTAAGTTTTGCTATAGCATATATATTAACATTATTTTCGTTAAAAAGTGCTCTTTCCAATGGTGAAATCAGAATTATGAAATACAAAGGGGATCGTAAGATATAAGCGAAAATATTTCAAATTTTTTTATAACGAACTTTGACGCTGACCTACGATAACACGCATCGAGCCTGCTTCGCGTGCCTCCGTGCTGTGTTTAGTCACTACTTGAACGTCGCCGTGTTATATTCAGGCGGTCGAGTTGTAAAGTTAATATATTTTTTATATTATATTATTTTTTGCTATTAAAAATGAATGCTTGTAATGGCGGTTGCAACAAGCCTCTGAAGGCTAATGAAAAGATTTCCTGCTCTCAAACTAACTGCAAAAAACAATTTCATTACTTTTGTGTTCAACTGACAAGTGCTAAAAAGCCGACTAACTGGAAATGCCCTGACTGCATTCAAGAAATGTCATCAACTCAGCGTAATAAAATCAAAAATGACACACCCGGTAAGAACTCCTTATCTAAAGCTATCAACGAATCACTCGATGAACGTCAAAATGTAACCTTTACTCGGGGTAATACTTTAAATAATAGATTCGTTGAAGAAACTGTCAATCTGCGGTCGGCTGTCAGAAATATTTTGCATGAAGAAATAAGAGATATTGTACGAGCAGCAATAAGCGAAGAGTTTTCCATATTAAGAAAGGAGTTACGCAGCTGTGAAGATTCGTTAAGCTACTTGAATAATAAGTTTGAAGAAATGGAAAAATAATGTTGAGGCCTGTGTGGAAATGAATAAAATAATCCAGCTTGAGAACAACTTATTGCAGCGCAAAGTCAATGATTTGGAATCGAGGTTGTCTTTTATAGAGCAGGACTCGAGGCAAAATAATATAGAAATTTATTGTCTACCAGAGCACAGACAAGAGAACTTAGTTAACACTTTTATGCAAATCAGTAAAGTAGTTAGTTTTCCTCTTACAGAAACTGACATTGTTGAATGCAATAGAGTTCAAAAACAAAAACCATCCTCAAAAGTACCCAAAACAGTTATATGCAGATTTGTCAGTAAATTAAAACGCACAACTTAATTGCAGCTGTATACAAATATAACAAGTTTCATCCCAAAATAAAATTGAACACCAAACTTGGCGATGTTGAGGCTTTGGCGATGTTAAATCAGCCGTCTCGAGCAGTGAACATCTCACCCAAGCTAATAAATCACTGCATGCTGCAACGAGAATCTGGGCGAAAGAGAAAAATTACAAATATGTATGGGTAAGAAATGGAAGAATTTTTGTTAGAAAAGACGATGAACATCCAGCAAAAATGATATTACACCAGTTTACCTTGAAATCTTTAAATTAGATTTTAATATCTTTTTAGCAAAGGTCATTGTTTTTAGTTTTAAAATTCACTCTTAACATTTATTACCAAAACATCCGCGGTATGCGGACTAAATTACCTGATGTCTTTTTGGAAGTTAGCGCTAACCGTTTCGATTTAATCGTATTGACAGAGACTTGGCTTAACGATAGTATATTTGATAATGAAATTTTCGATAGTAAGTATCATGTATTTAGGAGGGACAGATCATCCAACACTTTTAATGAGAATAATGATGGAAGTGGTGTTGCTATCGCTGTAAAAAAGTCAATTAATGCTTATAGAAACCACAATTTTGAATCTCGTTGTGAAGATTTATGGGTAACCCTAGTGCTGGGTAACTATAGAATATGTGTTTGTTCAGTTTACTTACGTTCTCCTCTAAATCAAACTCATCTCAAGCATTTTACTGAAAATGCTGGTAATGTCATTAATAATACATGCAATGATATTCTTATTTTTGGAGATTTTAATCTGAGTGACTTTGTTTGGACTCCTTTTAATGCAGATTCATCGCTTAAACTCAGCAATTTCGATAATATCTTCGGTTATGAATTGGTAGACTTTTTTGTCTAGTTATGATCTAAAGAAATACAGTGAGATCTCTAATCACCAGCGCAAAATTCTCGACCTCGTGCTGAGTAACACGATCTGTGATATTTCCGTTAAAAATCAAACAGTATAATTTCTCGAATAGACAACTATCATCCCCCAATTAAAGTAGACTTAGTTTAATGTAAAGCAAAAATACTCATGATGATGACAACCTCCCAAATATAAGTTTTTTTTTAGCGAATTATGATATATAGTATACGAGCCCGTTTATCCGACCTCAACTGGACTTCGGAGTTCCAAAACTGTTCGACTGTCGATGAAGTTGTATCGAAGTTTTACTTTATTATAAAAAAAGTCACTGAATTTGTTCCATGTCGCATACAAAACAAAAAATCATATCCTCCATGGTATACAACAAACCTCATAAAACCATTACGAGAATAGGAAAAATCTCGTCAAAAGTTTAAAAAGTACAGGAATGAATTAGATAAATTTGAATACAATATCTTAAAAGTTAGAACTAAAACATTAATCAAAAACTGTTATGACAGATACATTTAAAATGTTGTTGACAGCGTGATTAAAGACCCGAAGTACTTTTGGACTCGTATAAAAAATAAACGTAAGAATTATGGTTGTATACCGTCTAATATGAAATTTGGAGACAAAGAAGCTAATAATGGAGAAAAAAAATTCCGACATTTTGAATTAGTATATAAACCTATTGATATTAGTTTACTATGGAAATACCAAAGTCTGCTTTCTCCATGGGGAATCTCTATCTAAATAATGACAGTATTGAGAAGTGCTTAAAGGCTCTAGATATTACTAAGGACGCCGGAAGTGACGGGATTCACCCCTTGTTTCTGAAGGAATGCGCAGTAGAGCTTACGATACCTTTACATATTATTTTTAATAGATCATTATCTGAAGGTATATTTCTGACATATGGAAGGATGCAATAATTATACCATTAGATAAATCAGGCGATAAAAGTAATATCTGCAACTACAGACCTAGTTTTCTTCCAGTTTTAGGTAAAGTTTTTGAATCGTTAATTTGTCCTTATTTGACTTTGCATATAAAACATATTATAGCTGATCAACAACACGGATTTTTTAAGAAAAACGCTCTAACTACATCCAATATTATTACATTTGTTGACAGAACACTTACTAGAATGAGCTCAGGGAATGAAGTAGATTGTATTTATAATGACTTTAGTAAAACGTTTGACACAGTAAATCATTCAGTTCTAATCAACAAACTACACACATTATTTGGCATACATGGATGCTTATTAGATTAGTTTGCTTCATATCTCACAGATCGAACACAAAGAGTAGTCATTAGCGGTTTTGTTTCTAGAAAAATTATTCCAACGTCCGAAGTTCCACAAGGCTCGCACCATGGCCCATTACTTTTTATAATGTTTATCGATGATATTAAGCATTGTATCCGTAACTCCGATTTTGAATTATACGCAGATGACCTAAAGATATCCAAAATTGTGAATAATAACACAGACCAAATTCAACTTCATGAGGATATAGATAGAATTACAGAATGGTGCCGGCAAAATAAAATGTCTTTCAATACAAATAAATGCATTCTCACACAAAATTCTCACATTATATTAAATTCTCTCGAAAATTTAACAAATATAATAGTTGTTACAATATGAATAGTGTATACTTAGCGAAAGTAGATGAAGTGAATAACTTAGGCATTGCTATTGACTCTCAGATGCGATTCACTAACCACATTAACAATACCATACACAAATCGTTAATGTTAGCTTTTATTTTCAGAAACACCAAAGATTTTAAGTCGGTTTTAGCGTTAAAAGTTCTCTATTTTGCACTGGTCAGCAGTCACGTTGATTATTGTTCAGTCGTATGGTATCCGTCTTATCAAAATAATATTCAGCGTATAGAAAGAATCCAAAAAAGATTTTTAAATTAAATATCTTATGTAAGTGGCGTTCATCGTACAATTCGCAGATACTCTGAAACATTAGCGCATTTCGAAATTTTATCATTGAAGCAGCGAAAGAATTTGCTATCTACATGTAAGCCTTTTACATAAACTACTTAATAATAAAGTGGATTGGCCATCCCTCCTATCACAAATTAACTTGAAGGTGCCCAGAGTTTAAGCAAGGTTGTGTAATTTTAGTCCCTTTAGTGTAAATTTCAATAGCAAAAATTATGGTAACAACTCTCCTCTATATTCTATGATGAGAAAGTACAATGGTATATTCGGTAAATATAATATAGATCTCTTTAGTGATATCCTGGAATCCTTAAAAAAGAAAATATTTCTATACTATACTCAAACTGAAAATTAAAACTTTAAATTAAACAACTTTAAATTATACAATGTTAAGCTCTTTACCAAATTATAATTTTACCTGCATTGCATAGAATGGTCTTTGTGTTTATATCATATTTTATTATCTGTTAATTTCAAAACTAATTTTAAGTTTCATGTTGAAATGTTGTATACCATACCTTTAAGTTAAATACATATATAGTATAATTTTGTTTATAACTGCAAATGTTTAATAATAACGTTTTCTATGTGTTTAGTTGGTAAGCCTAAATAAATAAATAAATGTAGTATATGTGATTATAAAATGCTAATAAGTATGTAATAAAATAAGGTTCATAAATCTGAATGAAGGTAGTATCATTAATATTGCCTGTTAAGACACAAGTATAAATGCACCGCGTCATTATCACGAGAGCCGCGGGCGAGAGTGGACGTGTAGTGAGCCGTGAGTTTACGTGTGCGTGTGTGAACCAGTAAATTCCTGGCTGTTACAGGTGATAATATAGAGTAGCTATTATTCAATAGCAACAAAATAAATTCGATATGATCGCTAATTTTCGTGATGAAAATAGATTTAAAAAAAATCCTCCACGGTAAAAAATCTTCAATAATGTTTTTTCTTACAATATGTATAGAAATATTAGTGTATAAAGTAAATGCAGTAAAATCAACTCACAAAAGTGATAGAATGGGCTGTAAATGATCAGCAGATTTTGTGATGTAAGCAGATTAAAAAAATTTTAATAACAATTTGGAAAATCTAAAGTGCACACCTTGAAAGCTCATGTAGTGTTTTGAATAATCAATTCACTTTTTAAATTACCGAAACAAGTTTTTCTTTTAAAGAGAAAAAAAAAGAATCAAAGTGCCCCGAAAGATGTCTTGTTCACATCATGATTACTCCCAAAAAAGAAATCTCTCTATATCCTTTTTTAAAATCAATATAAGTGCAAAATAAAGCTGATGGAAGTGATTTGGTGACAATATAGCACTACATCTCCGCTTCGCGTTCGATGTGTGCAAAACTTTAGTTAGTAATATGATAGTATTATTACATTCTATGTCAAAACCTTCAGTAATTATATGAATGAACATTGAGGTTTGTTATTTTTTTATAATTATATGCATAAGCGATGACGCTAATAAAAATGACGTTAATAAATAATAAATTTTAGAATACCTTCCTTTATTGAATGATTGAAAATTAAGATTTGTTCCTTTTTTAATTATATACATGCAAATTATTTTGAATGCCAAGAAAAAGCGACCTCATTGCATTATATGTCGAAAATATAGTACATAAAATTGCGATTAGCAATAATAAAATAAATTTTAAAATACCTTCCGTCATTGAATGAATGAAAATTAAGATTCGTTCTTTTTTATAATTATATACATGAAAATTGTTTCGAGTTCCAGGAAAATGAGTGACAAATGAGCCGAGGCGAATTCTCGACGGGCTCGTAGTTCGTGTCGTACCAGTGACCGACAGCGGTCCCAAGGCCGAGTTCGACATCTGCGGGAAATCGAGAGGCGCAGTCGAAGCCGCAGCCGCAGCCGCAGTGATTGAGGTGAGCGTCGGCTACGATTGCAGTGGTCTCGAGAACGCAGTGCAGAGACGTAGTGTTGCACATTATCATCGTAGAGTTTCCAAAGATGTTTGAAAGGGAGGTACGTAAGGAGCGTGAGATTGAATTAAAGAAACAGATGAGCAGTTCCTAAAATTTTTGCGCGGGAGTTTTTTTTACTTGTCCAATGTTTTTAAGTTAACATTATTCCGTGTTTAAATGTATCAAAGTGTCAAAAAATACATCATTATATAATACTTTATAAATTATTCGTATAAACATTCAAAATACGTCAAAACTAAAAATAAAAATAAATGAAAAAAAAGTAAAATCCGAATCCACAAAAATATATAATGTATGGAAAAGCGGCTGACCCATTGTTGTTCTAGACACTTCGGGAGATATTATTATTATTCATTATTCTTAGGAGGGACTTTTCTAATAATAAATTTAACAGCCACCTTATGCATATCAGACAAATTTAAACCGCTGAAACACAATGCCGTTAACAGCAGCTGAAAAAATTAACCGTTATAGTGCTAAACTCAAACAAAACGCTTATTTGAATAACAGAAATTAAAAACTTGGAACAAATAAAGAAAAAGTATAAATACTCCCGCATCGTGCGGCCACCTCGGGAACCATCTCAGATAAGCCATTAATTGGGTGGCAAGCAGTGAATTGCTTATTCTATGGTATTGATGATAGGAGAGTTCGAGTAGGTGCTCAAGCAGCAAAGTTTTCTAAGCCCCAGGATGTACTCCAACTCTTTAAGACCATCAAATGTCAAAATTGAAGTCAACGAGACTTTTATAAGGATTTCAATAGAGACAAACGTACTAGTGTTAGGACGGTTAGATCAGTCAGATTCTGCAGGGAGGGAATTTGGTTAGTACACCCTTCAGAAAAAAACAGCAGTATTTATTAGTGGTCCAGTTACCTGCTTTAACTGTCAAGGTGTCTGTGATCCAAGTTTCAAGTGTCCTGAGTCGATCGTAAAATGTACTAATTGTTACTTCCTAGGGAATGATACTTCTCGCTGTCCAAAACTGAAGTATCAAAAGAATCCCCTTACTTCATCGCCTCGCCAAGATTAAATGGATATGTTGAACGGTATAGGTGAACAATTTTAGCATCTTTTTGGTCCACTGCTCATAGTAAGAATAAAAACATATGAGATGAATTTTAAATGATATACAGTTAGGAGTAAATATGGATACTTATCTGAGTTATTGTAAGGAAAAAATTAGATCTGAAGCGAGTGAGCAAATAAAGAAAAATGAGACAAATAAAAGTCGACAAATACAAAAAAATGGGTGGGAATTATAAAGATATAGATATAAATATAGGAGTTGATTAAGCAAATGGATAAGTTAGTGTATTTGGGAAGTGTATTAGCAGAAATGGTAGAAATGATAAGGATATAGAACGAGGAGCGAACGCAGAAAATGAGTAAATGGAGCTTTACACTCTATTGTGCAATTCATAATGCTGTGTAAGTCCCTATCTTAACAACTTCCCTGTCCCCATAAAACTCATTTTGATAATGCCCCACGTCCACACGTTTTTTTTATTGTTACGCTAAATAAAATCATTATTAAGTATATCATAAAAAATAACTCATAATATATAAAGAATAAACAATTTTTCTTTTCAGTTTTTTTTTGAGTCACATATGACTCACGGACGTAGGGCGATAAATTTTATTTAGCACGTTCAATGAGTCATGTGAGAACACAACCTTCAAATGCATTTTTGAGTGACAGTAACAAAACATCATTCGTCAAATGTCAATCGACTGTCATAACTACTACTAGATTAGAAAGTTGAATGTTTATTTGAGGTTATAATTAATATTTTATTGGAAAAAGGTCTATTTGTGGTTATAAATTAAAAAAAAGCTAGAAAATGGTTAAGAGAAGATATACAGATGACGAATTATCGCGGTATTTAGAAAATTCAGATGAAGAACCATTTAGTAGTGGAAGTGACGAAGAATATCAGCCCAACGATGAAGATGAAGATATCGAGGATACCGAGGTAATTGCAGATTTTATAGCAAGTAGTGCAGGCAGAAGTACTGAGAGTCCGTCACCCACACCAGCAAGTTCATCGTTATTCAAACCATCTGATGCCGAATGGAAAAGAGATGTTTTGCCTTTAGGGAGGGAAACGTTTATAGGCAATCACGGTGTACAAAATATAGACGCAATTACTGAAGATGGGAAAGTTAGTTTGTTTAAAATTTATGCTTATTTTGTACCTGATGATTTCATTGATGTTATGATCATTCATACCAATAATTACGCGCAGTTGTTAAAGGAATTACGAACTGCACAATTTAGTCGAATGACGAGATGGAAAGACGTCACTAGAGAGGAATTGAAAACATTTTTTGGAGTGATAATCTACATGGGTCTCAATCCTAAGCCGTCAATTGAGCACTACTGGAAATTAGACGTGCTATATTATAATCCTCTTATGCACAGAATAAATATGTCGTATAACAGGTTCAGCTCCATTCTAAGATTCTGGCACTTTACAGAAATCCAAATAGGTGTCATTGGAGAGCAAAGAACTCATAAAATAGACCCACTCATACATAAAATGGTAAACAATTTTCGTAGTCTTTATATACCTTCCGATATTATTGTCGTTAATGAGTCAATGGTCAAATTTCATGGAAGGTTGCAAATAAGAACTTATAACCCAGCCAAAACAGATCGCTACGGTATGAAAATATATAAGGCCTGCACAATAAATAGCTACACATGGTCCTACCAAATTTATTCCGGGATTTCGCATCAATTAGAGGGTCTTGATAAACCTGGTTCAACAGTGGCACAGCTTACAGAGCCGCTTTTAGATGCAGGTCGTATTATCGTCGCTGACAACTATTATACCAGTTTGCCATTGGCTGAGTATCTAAAAGGTCGCAATACTGATTTATGCGGCACTTTACGTAAAAATAAAAGAAATTTGCCAGAAGAAGTAGTAAAAGCGAAGCTAAGAAGGGGAGAAAAAATAGCTAGACAAAAGGACAACCTCTATACTGTACTCAAATGGCATGATAAACGCGATGTCCTTATGATCTCAACCTGCCAAGGAGACGGTATGTCTAACGTCACTACCAAACGCGGCGACGTTATGAAATCTGATGCAATCATCGATTACAATGATGCCAAAAAAGGCATTGACATTTCAGATCAACTTGCTTCCTTTCATTCGCCGTTACGTAAAAGTTTAACGTGGTACAAAAAGATAGCAATAGATTTGCTATTTCAAGTCGCCATTATCAATGCCAGTTGCATCTACAACGAGTTGGCAGACGGTCCTAAGTTGACAGTTTTACAAATCCAAGAACATCTAGTCCGACATTTCCTTGGACCTGTAGCATCAACCACAGAAAGAAATCAACCTCAAAAATCTTCCATCTCCTGTAGCTCTCCAAGATCTTCAATAGCTTCTTAAAGTAATTCTGGACATTCTCTACAAGAAATACCTCGAAAGACAAACAATCAACTCGTCCGAAAAAAGATGCACTGGGTGCTATGTCAAATTGAAAAATGAAGGATTATTCGCAAGAAAAGCGAAGCAAGTACACACTGAGTGCAAAGGGTGTGAAAAAGCATTCTGTTTAGAATGTTATAATGAGAAACATGCTTGATTTTATAATATATATTTTTTTATAAAATCCTTACATTCCAGTATTTGAGTTTTATTTATGGCAAATTTCTTGTAGGGTTATTGTTGATAAAATGAAAAATATAAAAAAAATCGCGAAATTTTATTTTGTCGTTGAAAACATTAGGGTTTTTGCTATACGTCCACTTATGTTTTTAAAAAAAATCACGTCGCGATCGTACCGAAAAATATGCTTCAAATTGTATAGAAAAATGAGTCACAGGTGACTCATGAACTTATTCTTATAAGTTCTTGTGAGTCGTATATGACTCATTGGACAGGGAAGTTGTTAATGTATGGTAGTGAAAGCTGCATTTGGCAGAAGAATCACGAGAGTTAAAATATGCTGTAGATATGCGGTTATTAAGGAGTATGTTAGGATCTGATTGAGATAAAAGTGTGGTTTGTAAGATGTTGTGACCATAATACAATAAAACAAATAGAGAGAGTTAAAAAGACGCCCTAGACGAAATTTTGCAAAGCAAGTTGGTGATATATTGAAAATGGCCCAGATTAAGAGTTACCTTAATCTACAAGCATGTATGCGTAGATACATAAATGTAAAGGGGACGAATGTTAGGATCATGCCAAATGGAAGTCTGTAGTCTCTTCCTATTTCTCTGGGTGACACATGCGTGTGTTTATGTATTCTGATTATAAAGAGGCCGATGTCGTTATGATAGAAAGGGCGACATTATTGTCACCGAGTCAGTCAAAACATACGTTTGGAAGCCGTGTCAGGACCCGTACAGGATCTTTAAATATATCCTTCCAAATTACAGATTTCTTGAAGAAGATATTCGTTTGACGAGTAAAAGTGCAAAATATTTATAATGATTGTTACCATTTTAAAATATTCCTACAGTTGACTTTCAACGTCTCTGCTTGCTCTTCCAGTGAAGTCAGTAATAATGAAAATTATAATAATTGTAACGAAAACTAATTGAAACTAAATATTATTGCTATGATTCGATTGATAACTATTAACTGTCTAATAAAGTTATATATTCGTGTCTTAGCTGAATTGTATAAAAATTGCTAATTCAAAGTTAGTGAAAGTAGAAGAGATAAAATTATGTATAAATAGAACAAAAATTAGAACACTAATTTAGTCTTAGTTTAACTAAATGTTAAGCATAACTAAAATATGATTTTTTTTGTTTGTAAATTATATTTTGTTCTTTGAATATTGAGTGAGTCAAAGTGGTGGGTTGAATGATGACCGGTATAAGAACTTGCCAGGTATAAAATAAAGATACCATGGAGACAAGTGAGAATGTTTGAGCCGGGTAGGACTGGCATACGAACTCGCCGCCCATGAGTGGCTCGAAACATCGCAGCCGATGATGGTGTGTCGGTTAAGGAAGCAATTCCCACACCACAGGGCTATAGATATTGATTGAGTGAGGGGTATTAGAGTCGGGCAGAGTTGGCGTATGAACTGGTCGCCCATGACTGACTTGAAGTACCGCAGCTGATGATGGTGTGTCGGTGAAGGAAGTAACTCTCGCACCAAATGGCTATAGATATCGATTGAGTGAGGGGTATTAGAGTCTGGCAGGATTGGCGTATGAACTCGTCGCCCTTGATTGACTTGAAGTACCGCAGCCGATGACAGAGTGACGGTGAAGGAAGTAACCCTCTCACCGCTAGGCTATAGTTAATATTCGATGAGAATGTTGTGCATGTTGTATTGTATATTGTCAGAAATGATTGGCTTATAAGATAATTGATAGAATCAAGCGTTACTTTGCGGAAATCCATTATAATAAATAATTTATTACTTTGCAACCTTCCGCTGAACAGCATGCTTTAATTTCTTTTTAATAAGTCTACATTACCTGAAAATGTCTCGTGTAGAGGCGAAACACGTGTCGTATTATCGTCGATGGTGTGTCTTACCTGGAATAGTGGTGCTGGGACTAGTGGTGACGGAGTTAGTGCATGCAATTGAGGGAGGGCGGGAGGTGCTCTTCAATCCAGGTAAGACACATCATTGTCTTTATTTAGCGGAAGGTTGCAAAGATATCTATATTTTTATTTTTTATTACATTTATATGTTAAATAAATGAGATTTATAAATTTATTTAAAAATACAAACGTTAATTTTTTAGCTCATTTTCTGTCATTTTATTTTAAAAGTATAAGCAATAATTTAAATAGATAATAAAGTTTCGTTTCTTGGATATAGTTTTTAATTCAATAACTAATTTATATGTAAACTGATTTAAACTGGTTTGCTTGAAATTATAGTAAAAATTTTATTTCATTTAAGTTTAAATAAAGAGGTTTTTATATAACATATTTCGTGGCCAGATCGTAGACTTATTATATTTTACAGCAGTCTGTCATTTCTTGAAATAGTAGTAGATTTCTATGGCTCACAGTCTCCACTTACCATTAAGTAGACTCTGTGCTCGTTTGTCACTCTTAATCCATAAAATTGATTAAGAAACACAACAAATCCCACGAAAGTCAAACCTTGTAAGTAGTGTGCTAACTGCTTCACGTGTGCTTAGGGCCAGAAATCTGCAAGGTTTCTGTGAGCGAAATTATTTAAAAAAACAAATTATTTAATGTAGTTTATAGATGTGCATCGATCTTAAACGTTCTGCAACTTGTAGTTACAATAATTTGAGTAATGAAAAAAATGTAGGTTTATTTCTAACGCGAACGGAGTGGCGGTAAAAGCTAATACATAATTTAGAGCTAATTTTAAGCTAGTTTAGATTAAATTATTTGGACAAATATTCTAGAAGTTCTTCTTTAATTCATGACATATTGTTTGCTGGCAATTTGAACGAGATCAACCACCAATGCGCCACCATTTACTCGGATTAATTTCCTGTTCCGGCTAAATGACGAAAAATTCTTTTGTAGGCGTTCTCTTATTTTTTTTTTTGTTGAAAATGGATATCATAGTCTTATATATTATGCGGAAATAAAAATGCTAGTATAATGAACATTAAAAATATACAATTGTTACCAATGCATTTGAAACCATCGACACCTATATAATATATTATTACATATTACACCTATATACATGATTATAAGGTTAATAAATTATAAAACCGTAGAGTAACATATTATGTAAGAATAATAAAATTTGCGGGTAATCTTAACATCGTCATAAACTATAAAAGGTACTGCTGTGTCTTAGTGGGCGTTCAGTTGTGAGTCTCCTGCCTACAAGTTAGTTACTCTGCTCAAATCTGTGCTCATTACATTAAGCAAGGAATAATACATAATTACTGTGATTCGTTTGATCAAGTGAATAAAAAGTGCTACTGTGTAATCTGTTTTACTTCATATCTATTAATTAAAACAATAGTATCTTTAGCAATGACAGGTAGACTGACGGTATATCAAAGCATTCATCATCTTTGTCATAACTCATCACAAGTCTACTGCTAACACGAACTACTGTCTACTACAGTGGTGAAGCTAGGGCTCCAAACTAGGGCAAGCCCAAGATATGGTTTTGTTGTTTTTAGCAGTTTTATAAAAGTACACTAATCTTGATCTGTCTCCACTATTCAGTTTCATATTCAGTGCTGTCGAGGATGTGTTTAACAAAGCACACGGAAGACATACTACTGTTAGATAGATTGTGTGACATATCAGCAATTGCATACCTTCGGTAGTTTTGAAAAAAGCCGTTTGGGTTCGCTTGAGCGTAAGAATAAGATATTTACATACAATACATAAACAAAAGAAAATCATCAACAAACTATGTACAAAATTAAAAAAAAAAAAAACAATTTATCTCTTCTCTCTTTCTTAAGGAAAGATTTGATTACTTCGGAGCAAAATGTTAGTGAACGTTTTAATTGTATCAATAACTGTTTTTCAATTGCGATAATTGATAAGTCTGAAAGACGCTCTTGAGGTTGTGTACCTTTTCCTCGCCGATTATCACTTTAACACACTTCAATTTGTGACGGCCCAATATTATTATTAATAATTAAATTCAATATAAAGCGGCGTCAAAAATAGTCTTAAAAGATATATATTAAACAATAAAATTACATTTATAACCATAAAGATAATATAAATACATTTCAGACATTAGACCAATAACATAGTAAATTAAAGGCAAAATATTGTCTTCCATAATCAATAAATTTATTAAAAACTTGAAAAAATATTTAAAATAAGATAAATAATAGAAATACAAGTCGAAAATATTATAAAAATAAAGATAAATAACATTTATAAGATAATTAGAAAATTTGTTAAAAATTGTCCTTGGAAGGAGTTCATGTATAAAAGAAAATTTTCCTAAGTTGTGGAAGGAGTTCACGTATAAAAGAAAATTTTCCTGTTATGGAAGGTGTTCATGTATAGATGTCTTGTATGGAGGAGCTGTCGGAGATACATACCTGCAGTTGTACATATATATGGGGTGGTCGGGAGCCCGACTGCCTGAAGTACTGTAGCACAATGACTAGTCCTATATTAGGGACTTATGATATTAAACTCAATGATACAAAAGCAATACTATAGAAGGCCTCCATGATGAATTTGCATTACAATAGTAGGGTCGTGTGTTCGAACCCTATATATTAATAACTTATGAAAGTAAGATCTATGATACAAAAGCAATACTATAGAAGGTCTCTATGATTAATATGCATTACAATAGTAGGGTCGTGGGTTCGAACCCTATATATTAATGACTTATGAAAGTAAGGTCTATGATACAAAATCAATACTATAGAAGGTCTCCATGATGAATTTGCATTGGGTTGTATGTGGGACTTTGGGATGGTGTAAGCCGACGA